ATAATAATAATGAAAGAATAGCAGATGTTTATAAATTTTGAAGCTTGGTGGTAGGTACATGAAAGTTAATTATTCTGTACACTATTTGGGCATATATTTCAAGTTCTTCAGAATAAAAGGTTTTAAAAAAGGAAGAAGGAAAGTCATTTTAAGTTTACAAATGTCTAGACTATCAAGCAAAAGATACCAAGAAACAGGCTCTTTCTTGCTCCCAGGCCATCTTGGTAGCTGTTCTTTGTTGGGGGCCAGGCCCCCAACAGACAGGAAGTTGGTAGCCACAAGGAAGATGAAAAAGTTGCTGGAGTTGATCAACTCTAGGCTCCAACTTGGTATGAAAACTAGAATGTACATGCTGGCATACAAGCAGACTCTCAACATGGGTCAGACAAGGCAAAGTGAAATTGGTCATCCCTGCCAATAGCTGTCCAGCTGAGTATCATGCCATGTTGACCCAAACTGGTGTCCATCACCAAAGTGGCAGTAATATTGAATTTGACAAAGCGACCAGAAAATACTACAGAGTATGCACACTGGCTATCACTGATCCAGGTGATTATGATATCATCAAAAGCATGCCAGAACACATTGGTGAGAAGTAAATCATGCAAAATTTTTCTTTAAAAAAGCCAAAGCTTGTTTAAAAGAAGGATACCGGCTGGGCGCGGTGGCTCACGCCTGTAATCCTAGCACTCTGGGAGGCTGAGGCGGGCGGATTGTTTGAGCTCAGGAGTTCGAGACCAGCCTGAGCAAGAGCGAGACCCCGTCTCTACTAAAAATAGAAAGAAATTAATTGGACAACTAAAAACATATAGAAAAAAACTAGCCGGGCATGGTGGCGCATGCCTGTAGTCCCAGCTACTTGGGAGGCTGAGGCAGGAGGATTGCTTGAGCCCAGGAGTTTGAGGTTGCTGTGAGCTAGGCTGACACCACGGCACTCACTCTAGCCCGGGCAAAAAAGTGAGGCTCTGTCTCAAAAAAAATAAAAAATAAAAAAATAAAAGAAGGATACCAAGAAACAGATTAAGTTCTGCCCCCAAAGAGGGAGATGTCCTTTTTCATGATAGACCCCTTTTCCAAATGTAAATTCTGTACCACATGCATGTCTTATTTACCCAAAAACTGAATAAAATAATGGTTGAAAGACATATATGCACAATGAGAGGAAGTGACAGAGTCCCCAGGCCTAGCCAGAAGGGGCATAAGCCACCCACAAAACTCAGTAGGAAGATAGGTAACAAGACTATTACAGTATATAGAACACTAGTTAAGTAAAGATACTCTAAAGGCTAAAGATCAGGCAGAGGTGCATGTCGCCGAATATGGGGCCATGGTTGTCCCAGATACCCTGATGCTGGCTTACTAAATCTACAGAGGTAAAGATCGTAGTACGAAGACAGAGAATTTACTTTTCGATTTAAAAAAGATTTTACAAGATTATTATTGTAAATATTATGGGTATGTTAAATTAAGGTGTGCGGGAGAGGGAAGTTTTTTTAAATGTTCCTTTTCCCAATAAATTCTTAACATTTCCAGAAGACTTCAAGACTCAAGAAAGAAACATTTTGTATTCTCCCACGTGCCCAGGTTGAAAACACACATTACAAAAACAAAATGAAAATAAAGTGGGAGAAAGGTTCTTGCCCACTTGCCCACATGAACATACGTCTTAGTCAGGAAAATGTTAGGAAGATGTGTTAAACAAGAGCCAGAAAAGAAAATAAGGCTGGGCTTGGTGGTGCATGCCTGTAATTCCAGCACTTTGGGAGGCTAAGGAAGGAGGTTCACTTGAGGCCAGGACTTTGAGATCAGCCCAGACAACATATGGAGACCCTGTCTATAAAATAAATAAATAAATAAAAATTAAAATAAATAAATAAATAAAGGCTAAAGATCAGAGCTCTAGGAAAAATATTTAGCAGGCAAGGCATGATGGCTCACGCCTGTAATCCTAGCA